GCTGTGTGTCGGTCCGTCAAAGCCCCCGCACACATTCTTTTTTTTCTTTCCTTTTTTTAAATCTTTGTCCTGAGGCTCAAAAGTTTCAGGAAGTTGGTGTGAATGTGGGAAGGCCAGGAAGCTGCGGGGGCATTGATTCATTCACGTCGGACCGCAGTGGGGCTCCTCCTCTCCCTGGGTTGCTGGTGCTCATCCCTATGTCATAACCGGTATGTGCGCACACGTGTGTCTGTCCCAGCATGCCGAGTCCGCTCCCCTGGGTCCCTGACCGTGTGCACAGGGTGCCTCCTCCTCCCCAGCTGTGAGGAGCGGGGCTCTGACATGGCCTGTCCCTTTAGCTCACTCTGAGCGTTTGACACGCCGAGCACAGAGGTCAGCCTGACCTACTTTCCCCTGGCGGTCCTTCTGCTGAGCTGCAGCGCTCCTCAGCAGGGGGGGGGGGGGGCAGCGAGGGCGGAGCTGCCTTACGCCTCCTCTGCTGTCCTGGTGTGTTAAATCACCGCCATTTGTTCGGAGACATGTACCAGTGTGTGTGTGTGTGCGTTTCTTTAGGTGTGTAGGAGACATCCCACAGACTCACACAGGCCTGTGCTGAGGTTGGATACGAGGCGCTCTATGGGGGTTACAGGTAGATGCTGGGCAGCACTTGGGCCGGACCCCTGCAGTGGGCTCTGTCTAACTCACTTTGTGCATCACTGTTCACATCCTCTGACCTCTTCTGCCTACTTCACATCCCTTTTACCCTCATACCCATTTGACTGTCTTTAAGCAGATATACTTTGTCCATAAAAAGACTTAGGATTTAAATCTAAGAAGCTGCTGCTCAAATGCTGACGTATTGTTTATATGCTCAACGGTAATTGATCTTAATGTTTCATCAGCCTATCGTAGTCTTGGTACTCCTTTCCCTCCTACTCAGCAAATGCAGTGCGATCTATTAAATGCCCTGATAGTCTCCGTCATCATGTTTTTACTTTTCTTCCCCTGCTGCTGTTATATTTTCGAGTTCCCTTTTGTTCTGGTTCATGTCTTCTCCTGCAAATGACCCACAGCCTGTTAGTTTCACACCACAGATGTGTCTAAAGCAGTGGGGAGAGTTTGTCTGACACAATATGTGGCTTCACGGCCTGTCAGGAGGAGAGCAGGCAGGCAGAGTTCATTAAAAAGTAAACTTCTAATGTAGCGGCAGGCCTCGGCTGCTTGACTGTATCAATGATTTAGTCCCAGCAGAAGGTCCTTAATGGATAGAGCCACCTCTCTGAGTTCAGATGCTGCTGTCCGCCTGGCATCAAGTGGCACACACACACACTCAGGGGCTGTGATGGGAAAATAGTTTGAAGTACTTAAGTGTGTGTAAGAATTGTACAGCTTGCATCACACTCCCTCCCGCTCAGACACTCCCCTGTTGTCATGTCTCAGGGTTGTAAAGTAGCAGAGCTTGCTGAATTGAAAGCCTTATATCTGTTAGTCACCATCCACTATGCATGATCACATTCTGTGTTCACATTGCTTTATTCATCTGAACTAAAGTCCAACTGTGACAAGGCAAGGGACACAGTGAGGCTAAAAGGACAAAGTCTGTGTAATGGTGCTGTCACTGCAGCCTGTGTGAGGTAGACTGGCTGTGAAGAGGAAGAGCAGCTGAGTTGAAGGGGGGGTAGGATCTCTGGTGGTACTTGGCAATATTGGACAAATCAATGACGACAATATTTTTGAAAAAAACCATCTATTGGCATTGTGATGATATTGTACATTTGGCAGTTTGTGCCTTCATTAAACTTTGACACAATGATTGTTTTGGTCAAAAGAAATCATCAGAATGTGGATATAATGACTAAGTGGGTAAAGCCAAATAATACATCAATGTACTCTGGTGCATCCTTTAAAAGCAGGAAAAGACCAAAAGAATTGCGATATTACGAATACCAATATCTGGTCTTATATCATGATATCGATATCAAATCTAAATATTTCCAAGCCCTCATTTCCAGTCATGTTTATGTGCACTCACATTTGGGGTCAAACAGTAAGTTTAAGAGCCACCACATCACTAATACTGTGTTTGAATTCAAGTCTTTGTGATTCTTCTCAGATCCAAGCCTACAGATCAGTGATGATGCTGCAGCGTCACAGCGTTGCACACTCGGAGGGAAAGTGGTTATCATGTTGGCTGGACTTCCTTCAGACCACATAGAGTTCAGTCTGATTTCTTCCGTGTGTAGTTTTGAAGATCCAAGGAGAATATATTGTGGTTTGAGACCTGTCCGTAAATGCATACTAGTGTGTAGCATAGTTACGTAACGGATAATGTTTCAGATAAGGCGAGACATTTGTCTTTCACTAACTTGGCATGTTGAGTCTCTTTTGAAAGTAATAACAGAAATCCACAAATAGGTCATTGAAAACATACAAGATTTCTTGATTTTGAAAGTTGAAAGGATGTGTGAGAATCCTCACTTTGATTTGAAACCTGATGAACTTGTGTGCAGTAGGCGTGTGATTCATGCTTCTTTAATATCTTGTGAGAATCTGTGTCTCTTAATACCCCGTCTGTTGTGTTGTTGTCTTTGTCTGTATTGTTCAAATACCCTCACTTCAGGTGTTTGGTGATACTTCAGCCCAAATCTTTATCGTAATAAACACTTAGCCCTGCAGTTTGAAATGCAGCATTTAGCTCCTTCAGGAACAGCTATGGTTATCTTGAATAAGTTATTCAGAATTTGGTGGTATAGACACAAATGTTTTGTGAATTATGAGTCATGTGGTTCAAGCAGTTTCATTGGACATGTGTCACGCCAACAATTTAATCATTAAAAAAAAAAAATACATTCTTCTTTGATGAGTGCAAAGTTATTTTAAGTGCAACCTTTTTAAACGCACAACTTAAATCATGTCCAGTGCTGCAGTCCAAGTGCTTAGGACGATAAAGTGAGAATGTTACTGACAGGCGTAATCTGCTGTTGTGTGCTACATGTGTGAACACTGTCTGGAGCTCTTACGGGACAACGGATTAAGTAAGTGCTAGCATCTACAGTAGCTCCTTTTTTTGTGAATGGGTGTGCCAGACTGCCGGTTTAAAGGACCCTTCCTCCTCACTGCCCTGCAGGCTGCGAGCGCCACCAGATAGCTAATGTCATGATCACATTTTGGGGATCCATTGTAACATGAATTCATTGTGAAGAAGCAAACTGCCTTCTTTCAAGCCCGCAGGGAAGATTATTTGATTCTCAAAAGATGGATTCTGTATCGAGTTTCACTTTCAGAAAAGATTTCCTTTTGGCACAACAACACAATTGTTTTGTCTGTTGCTCCAGTTTCCCCCCGCTTCCTTTTCTGTTGTCAGACTTATTCTGGATTGCATTGGCACTTTAGAGTGATTTACCAGAAAGATTGACAGCATTACAACGAGGCTCTCATTATCCTGCCTCCTGCGGTATAATTGCCCATACTGTTGAATAAGCAGCTCCCATCTTTTGCACTTGGGGGTCTCTCTCTCCCTCTCTCTGTTCCTCTCTCTCTGTCTCTCTCTCTTTATCTCTTTCTGTCTCTCCCTCCCTCTCTCTGTTTCTCTCTGTCTCTCTCTTTATCTCTCTCTGTTTCTCTCTGTCTCTCTTTCTGTCTCTCTCCCTCCCTCTCTCTGTCTCTCTCTCTTTATCTCTTTCTGTCTGTCCCTCCCTCTCTCTGTTTCTCTCTGTCTCTCTTTCTGTCTCTCTCCCTCCCTCTCTCTGTCTCTCTCTCTGTTTCTCTCTGTCTCTCTTTCTGTCTCTCCCTCTCTCTCTCTCACTGTTTCTCTCTCTATTTCTCTCTCTCTCTCTCCCTCTCTCTCCCTGTCTCTCTCTCTGTTTCTCTCTGTCTCTCTCTCTCCCTCCCACTCCCTGTCTCTCTCTTTCTGTCTCCCTGTCTCTCTCTTTCTGTCTCTCTCTGTCTCTCTCTCTTTTCTCTCTTTATTTCTCCCTTTCTCCCTGTCTCTCTCTCTCTTTATCTCTTTCTGTCTCCCTGTCTCTCTCTCTTTCTGTCTCTCTCTGTCTCTCTCTCTTTTATTTCTCCCTTTCTCCCTGTCTCTCTCTCTCTTTATCTCTTTCTGTCTCCCTGTCTCTCTCTCTTTCTGTCTCTCTCTATGTTCTCTCTTTATGTCTCTCTTACTCTCTCTTTCTCCCTGTCTGTCTCTCTCTTTCTCTCTCTTTATTTCTCCCTTTCTCCCTGTCTGTCTCTCTCTCTTTCTCTCTCTACGTGTGCATCGGTTAAACTCATCAGAGAATCTACAGCTCTTTAGTGTGGCCATCTGTCAATACCACTCCATAAAGTGGAGTAGACAAACGTGTGCATCCATTGGTTCTTGTTCGCCGGCGGCTGGCCTGCCTCCAGCTGCTTCTGAGGGCCCCGCTGTAGCTGGTTAACCCGGGGGCCCGGAGCGCCGCTCTCCAGCCCTCGTGGCTACTCCAGCCCTCCCCCCTCCCTAATCAGGCAGCTGGATAAACCTCCCTCTTCACCGGCGAGAAGTAGCTTGTAACACTGTAATGAGTTAACTTTCAGAATGATCTACATAATTTATTTCCTGCCCCCCCAGGAGCTCGCTGAAGCATTAATTAATATCAGGCCCAAGTATCAGCAACCATCCCAGTGTGGGATTCCTTCTGGCACCTATTTTTGGCACCGGAGGAATTCGATATGTTGTGCAACCAGTCTGCAGTTTGTTGGACATTGATGAAAGATACTGCTTCCTGTTGGCTTGGTACACACACTGGGCTCCTGCATGTGTTTGTGGAGTGAAATCTGGACACAGTGGCAGGCCAGATCTCACGTCACTGAGACGAGCTGACCTCGATGACAGGAGCTGTGACTAACCCTTAAAGATACATGCTAACGAGTTGTGTGCCCTTGTTACTGCTGGCGATAATGTTCTCACGTCCTGCATACTTGTTGGGGTTCTCTTGTTTTTGATATGTGTACACTGACCCCCCCCCTCACCTTTGTCTCTCTCTCTGTCTGTTTCCCCACAGAACTCAATACGGCACAATCTGTCATTGAACAAGTGTTTTCTCAAAGTGCCTCGCTCCAAAGATGATCCCGGAAAGGTGAGAATCTGAAAAGAATGCATGCAGTTACTAAAATAATATATATACCGGTACATAGACTAATATGTTTAGTTTAGTTTCTCAGCTGCCAAAAAAGCCCTGTTACAACATTTCTTTGGTGTGTATCAGCCTATCTCTGGCAGAAAAATGTTACCTTTGAATGGCTGCCAGGACTCTGACTGTCTGGAAATGCATGGCATGCTCGTAATCTATTATGAACCTCCCGCCCCACAGAACTGCATTTCAAATGTAAGGAGACTAGTTGGTTGGACAAGCACAGACAGCAGATGTGGGTGATGGAGAAGGGAAAATAGAAGGGGCCGTAACAGGTTGGAAGTCAGGTCATTTCCAGAGTCTCAAGGTGAACCTGAAGCTACTCTAGGAGAGAATCAGCCCTCATTATCTCTCCATTCTGCTCCCATTTTCTTCTCCGTAAACAATGTAAAGACCAACATGTTAATTTGACATTTGAGTCTCAGTAGGAGCTCCTTCAGTTGCTTTTCCAGCCTCCCAATCTGCAGCGACATCATCCTGATAAGAAGTGCTCCACTGAGGACTTTATGAAGGAGCCTATGGGTCTATATTGAGTTTGACGGCATGCATAGGTCTAACCATATGTAGCCTAACCCAGATTTTATCCCGGCGCTGTCAGAGCATACGCTACATATGCTTAGGGAACCGCAAAAATAATTACACACACACACACACACACACACACACACACACACACACACGCACATGCACACCGACACATGCATGAAGAGCTACGCCTAGCTGTGTAGAGGATGGGGACTGAATGCTAATTTCATGTTTTGCTGTAATCCTCTGATATTGACACTCCTGGGAGCTGCTCCACTAAATACAAAATAATCTATTGCTGTATGGATCCCATTGCAAATGCATGGCCAACATGCTCGCATCCTTAATGTTTAATTTTGAATTTTCCTCACTCCCTTCCCCCCCGAAGACAACTTCAAAGAGGCGCTAGCCGCTCTTGATATGTTGCATCAATATTGTAATGTGGCAGGAATATGAGAACTGCTGGTTGGATGAGATAGGAGAGTCATGCCATTCTCTGTCTGCCTCTCACTCTCACTCGGAGATGGTGTAGGAGATGACAGTTGGTATTGTACATCGATACCCCCCTAAAACCACCTCGGAGGTAGAAATTCATGCCGTGAAGGCTACCGTTAATAATTATTTTTGTAATTGTCTTTGTCTGGATTTTCCAGGACCGGTGTACCTGTTGTGTTTGTTCTTCCTTTATTTACACACAAAAGGGGAACTACATGACAACACTTATGTAGATGTGTGAAAATGAGCTTTGCCATTTACGGGAAGAGAATAGGTCATCTGTTATCAGTTTAACAGTCTTTACAGCAGCCTTTGTTTATCTGGCTGCAGAGGAGATTGTGGCAGTGCCCCAGACTCCACTTCACTTGGCAATGCTTCAGTATTTTGCAGTATATTTGTGAATAATTTAACGACTCTTTATATGTTTTTCTTTTTTTCCTACCAACTCTCTTGGGGTGGGTGTAGGGAAATGCAGAAACTCCCCTCCCATGAGAGTTAACTTAATGTTTTCTTCCTCCCCTAATTAAAAGAAACGCCACCAAGCCTGGCTTTGTTTCTCTGACTCCTAATTTTGAAACATCTGCACCAGTACCCCTGCGTTTAACCCCTTCATCTTAACACAGAGATGAAGCCCATGTAGATACGCCTTTTTCTAACCTAACCATACGATTGTCAGTGAAGCTTCATGTTAAAACACGCGGTGGGTAATGAGGTTTTCTGCTTTAGCCTACATCGATACGAGATGTTTCTTCATCTTTGCTTGATTGTGCTGTGAATTATTCCTCCCCTCTGAGGAAAATGTTAATTGACCCCAAAGCCTCGCACATAATAAAACTTATAATGTTAACCCCCCTGACAAATGAAGGCCAACCCTGGCTTTTCTTTTTAACAATTGCAGTAGTTGTGTATTCGAGCCGTAAAAAAAGAACATATTTTCTGGCTTGAACAAGAGCAGGCCGTTATGCAGCAGTTACTGTATAGACACTTGAGATACAGCTGCTTCTATTGCCTCTCCTGTTGTTCGCACAATTTCTCGTGGAAATAACAATTATTTTCTCTGCTAAAGAAGTAATTTTAAAGGTCCTGAACTCACTTTCTCTGGACAATTGAGATTTTTATCGGGGGGTCAAATGAAATATTAAAAATAAATTCACAACTCGCAGGGCCTCAGGGGTGAAAATCTGTACTGTGAGCGTTGTTCCTGTTGGCTTCGAGGAAGAAAAGCATTGAAAAATCAATTAAATGGGAATGCAAAAGATAAATAATGCAGCCTGGTTGTTGAATTGCGAGCTGCAGCCCCAGAGCCAGCCCAACTGTTCTCTCCTTGATTAGCCTTGCTCAGACCTGAGAAGAAGAAAGCAACACGGCAGGGCGAGCGCTGCCTCAATTCCTGAGCTGAGACTGTGGAGCCTTCATCCTTGGCAACAGCACTCTGACTCAGTACCTGAGGCTGAGGAAGTACAGCTTCAGAAAAGGCTTAGCATTTCACCACCACCAGCTGCCCTCACCAGCCTCTCATTGAGAAGCAGCCGCAGAGGAGGAAAAGCCAAGCCCCTCTCACTAACAAAGCCCACCCACACGCCGCACAAACAGCTCAAATATATATAATAATGCTTGAATAACAGCTTGGGCTGATAGATTTGAGAAGAGCAGATTAGACCTCTTATTTCTAAATAATGTTGGAACCAAACATCTGATGCTCGTGTGCTGTGATTTCGTGTCATAGAGTAAATGTCCAAGTCCAGTGCAAACACTGAAGGGATGTCGTGTGAAACTAGGGCTGCGCAATTAATGGTATTTGAATCGCAATTACGATTTTGGCTTGCAACGATTATGAAAACAACATAATTGAAATAAAACGATTATTTATTTTATTTGTATTTTTTTTGTTTTGGTTTTTCAGTTGAATTATTCTTAAAGTTCAGGGTAATCAACTGTTAAAAACATACTGTTAAAAAAAAATGTTTCAATAAATTAATGTTTTCAAAGTAAATGGATAATCGTTTTTAATAATCGTGATATCAATTATTGACCAAAAATAATCGTGATTTTGATTTTTGCCATAATCGCACAGCCCTATGTGAAACAGCAATGTGTTGTGTTTTATCAGCTCACAGGTCTTTTTGTTCTGTCTGCAGGGCTCTTACTGGGCCATTGACACCAACCCGAAGGAGGACGCCTTGCCCACACGGCCAAAGAAGAGGCCGCGGTCTGGAGAGCGGGTGAGTCTGATGAAAGAAACGGCATATTCCTGAGGAAGCTCTTAGTATGCTGCTCCTCTGCTTCTGCCTCCATCTCAGTATCTATCTGTGCCTCTGTGTCTCTTCTCCTGCTTCCTTCCTTTTGCCCTCCTTTCTCTCCCACTCTTTCTCTACCACACACACGCACGCACGCACGCACGCGCACACACACACACACACACACACACACACACACACACACACACACACAAGCACACGCTCGTATGCCTAAAGCTTCTCTGCAAAGCATCCCACACCAAAATATACAACTATCTGCACTGCAGCACCTTTTTCCTCTACAACAACAACAACAGGCAGCAGGCTCTTGTTATCTTCAACACGGAAATATGATGCTCACACCGATACTTAGCTCTTTGCAACCTGATAGACCTCACGCAGTCCCGTGAAGACTTGCAATAGGATACAACCGCACGCTGCATGGGGTTCCTGCGCTCTCACCTGTAGTGGAGGTTAACGCCCAGAGTCGTGTTTCTCGTTCTGTGACCACGTTGCGCTGTTACACCACAGGTGACCGTCCCTGCTGCTGGCTCCTTCTGCTCCCTTTTTTTTGTATTCATATATTTAAAAGCTTGGAACCACTTGTACATCACAGAGCAAAGCCACGGGGACTGTTAGCTGTGAGTGTGCCGCTCACTCTGAAATTTAAATAGGCTTTTTAACCTTAAGCTCCCATCCTCTGGGCCCAGTGGGGGCAGCTCTCAGGTGTACTTTTAAAAAGCCTACTAGAGTCGCTTATTCATTTGCTGCCAGCATTAAAAAAAAAAAGCGATTTAATGGGGGGGGGCTCCAAAGTCTGAGCATATGTCGGTGTGTGTTATAACTTGCGTGTACATGTATGTAGAGTATGTTACCGCTTGTTTTGACGAGCGTTTCAGTGACGATTAGCTCGAGGCTGTTTCTACAGAGAACATGCCGTTGTTCATGTTTCTGTCGCAGAAAGATTCATGGGCCTTTTCCTCTGTGATTGCTACAAACAATCACTTGCTACAAGCACCAGTCTCTCCACCACCAGCATGAGTGCATAATGAGGCCCTAGCATACAGAGCTGACAGATTAACGTTTGGACTCCTGCCATCAAATACCTCCAGTCAAATAACTCATAAGTGCAACCAGCAGAAAACCTTTAAACGGCATCGATCACGACTTCCGTGGGATTCCTGGAGATGATCAAAAAAGCGTTGTGTCTTTTTGTTCACTTGGTAGTGACACAAACTTTAACAATGGTGAAATGAACCGAAGACAAAGTGGAATAGCAACAGATCTGAGGCCTTAACTCCTCGGAGGGAGCTTGTTCCTCACTGTCTTACACTGTAAACACACGACAGGCCACGCCTCTTTCGGTGCAATGTGCCAAGCCACAGGAATTCCCTTTCTGGTTTTCTCTCCCCTTCTATTCCAGTCTCTCTCCCTCATTCCCGCCTTCTCAGATAGACCAATGGGAGACGCTGGCAGGACGAGTTCTGAACCAACAGAAATCTCTTTCTTTCTCGTCTGTCGGACATTCTTCACAACTGCCCCCCCCCCCTCTTCTTCGTGTGCCTTTCTCATGTAGACTAAGATTTTACTCCCCCATCCCCCAAAGGTTGTATTCCGGGGCAGCCCTAAACATTGGCGTGAATATGATGAAACTCTGGCACTGAGGTGTGATGATTGATGTAGAGAGGGGATTGTTGGAAGTGTGTTTGCTGATGAATAGTATGCCCCCCCCCTCTTTCCCTTCCCTCTTCCTCTCCCTGTCTGTTCAATCCTGCATGCAGGGATTGTGCTGAACACTAGCTGGCATTGTTGGAGACACCTGGTCCAATCTTGCTTTGATTTCATAATCCATGTCTCATGCTCCAGATTAGGCCCCCATGTAAAAGACTCCTCTGGCTTTTTACTTAATTCACTGCTAAGAATAGATCCTGACTCGCTTGCCTGCTAGCTCACAGCGTACACAGTATTTACCGCGGAGCCGCTCTTGCCTGTATGAGCATGCCTGCCTGAGTGTTTTTCTGTGTGTGTGTGTGTGTGTGTGTGTGTGTGTGTTACCTACCTTAGTGTACATCTGTAGCTGTACAAATGTGTGTCATGTGTTTGTGCATGCTTCTCCGTATGTGGGTGAGATGCGACTGGGTGTTCATCTGTGTCTTCACTCGGGGGACTCTGGGGTCTGCGTAAACCACAGAGCAGCAAGGTTTAGAAATCATCACACTTTATGGGTGCGTAGAGTAAAAATAGATTGCAGTGAGAGACTTAAGGCTAAAAGCCTGTTTTATGACTTCATTACACGTAACATTTATATTTCTATGGTGCGCTGTTTTTGATTAGCATTGTCGAGCTGATTTTGTAGATGTGCTTAAGCCTTCAGTCTTAGCTGCTCATTGAGTTCCCCTTCACACTAATGAACGCTGGAGCCAAGCCCACACTGAGTGGAGAAAGGCTAGAGTTGCCTAATGAGCTTCTCTTACTACCCCCCCATTCTCCTCTCCCTCAGCCCGACCCCTCTTCCTCGTACAGCGTTGTTTGGATTCAGAATTTGCGCTCTGCTTTTAAATGCAGTCGTTACTATCTCATTGTCGCAGCTCAGGAGCTTTATATTAAAAGCTTAACATTATAGGACCCTCTCACCCTGCGTGTGTACGTCCGGGAGTTATACCAGCATGTTAGCGAGCGGGCCAATCAGTCAGAGGAGAGGAGGCAGTGAGAGCTTCCTTCCCTCCTCGTGTGCCTCAGCTGAAAGACAAGAGGCTTCAGTCCACTGCTGCCGCTGAGAGGCAGGGGCCCGGCCAATCTGCTTGCCTGAAGGCTGCTGCCACTGCTGTCTCATTGTGCTGAGCACAGAGCCCACTCTGTTCTACTCACAGTGATGAGCAGGAACCACCACGCTGCCCTCATGTCATGGACGGACACACACAAACACTCGCACACACACCAGTGTTTGAATGCCAGGCCCCTCTTCCACTGCAGCACCACCATCAGTGCATTACTGCCATTCCTTTCTCACAGTAAAAAGCTCATCACATGGACTACTCTCTGCGGGTATCATTATCTTCATTATCTGGATCGTTCTTCTTACTATTGTTATAATTGTCTGACGGCGCACTTTATTTGGGAAGGGTGGGAGGGCCAAACCTTGTTAGACGATCATTAAGATTGTCGTCCTGAAGTGCTTCGGCTAGTTCCCCGGCCTCATTGAAAGGTCAGTGTTGTCCCAAATGGAATTGCGCTTGGTGAGCAGATGTGGTCGACATCGCCAGTAGTGTGACCTTTAGTGATAGGAATGTCTCGGTTGTCTCCATTCCCATTCACACATTCAGCATGAAGCCCTTAGTGGCTGTGGTGGGTGTTCAGCTCTGCAGCACCCTGCGTCTCCCACACACACTCTCTCAATAAAGTGAAGAGCAAGTACTCTGCTATTATGACATGTCATTGCATGCAGCACACACACACACACACACACACACACACACACACACACACACACACACACACACACACACACACACACGCTCAGGCTTCACATTTCCATAATAAATTATATTGTTGAACTATAGACCAAAATTAACTCAGAGGAATGCTGACATGCTCTACCATCAGTGTGTGTGTGTGTGTGTGTGTGTGTGTGTGTGTGTGTGTGTGTGTGTGTGTGTGTGTGTGTGTGTGTGTGTGTGTGTGTGTGTGTGTGTGTGTGTGTGTGTGTGTAACTTAACAGTCTTGAGCATGTTTAAAACAATTTTGCACATTTCTTTTGTCCAGAGGTAATATGAGAAATGGTCACATCGTTCCTATGTGTGCGTCGGAGATAATAATCTGATGTACATGAATGTGTTTCAGGTGGCGTTGTACAACACAGACCAGGAAGGGAGCGATAGTCCAAGAAGCAGCCTTAACAACAGCCTGTCGGATCAGAGTCTGGCCTCCGTCAATCTCAACAGTGTGGGCAGCGTGCACAGCTATACACCGGTAAGACCGCTCTGCACGGCTCATCAATCTACATTTTGCATTCGTTCTGTTGCCTTGCTGTTCCTTAAAGGTCATTTTCCCTGTCGATGTCGCAGCTCCTAAATGTCTCTTAGTTGGATAGTAGGAAGAAGATATTTCTATAAATCTGCTAAAGTTTGGCACAAAGCTACATTGATGCCAGATGATACATCCTCACGCTATCCACATGTTTTAAGCCTGGAAAGGAGCAACAGTCACTAAATGAATAAAAGCGAAACACCGCCAGACATAGAATGTGTACTGTTTCCCTTATTTCCTCTGATCTGAAATCCTCCAGAGGTTTTTCTTCAGAGGAGGCAGCCGTAGCCAGCAATAGACCGAGGTTCAAGGTGGACATGCGCTGGAGTACGACATCAGGAAGGGGGTTAAGGGAAACAGAGAAAATGTGCACGCTCCTGGAAGCCAGACAAAGAAAAGCGCTTCCTCTGATGTCCTCCCACCAGAGATGCCCCCTCTTTGGTGTGGTCCTCCTGCATCCTAGAGTGCTCCCTGCTCCAGGCGCTGGGCATCGATCGGCTCAGCCTGATGGATGTGCTCTCTCTCTCTCTCTCTCTCTCTCTCCCTCTCTCTCTCTCTCTCTCTCTCTCTCTCTCTCTCTCTCAGCAGCTCACAGTAAACACTCTGGCTTTATTATCACCTCTTCACTCTTACCCGAGCCAGACTGCGAGCCGTGCACTTCAGCAGACTGCCCACATCTCGGACGAGGAAGATGTTGCGTGATCAAATATTGGACGTGACCTCTCTTGTAATGCTCGTTGTCAGGTCCTGCTTTGTAAGAACAGCCATGGTTTTGCATCAATGCCTCTTGCTCCGATAAATCCCGTAGACAAACTTGCTGCTGGGGGGAGCGCTGCTTGCCGCCTCACATCTCGGGGCAGGGCATAACATTGACTGCCCACACAGAGACGTGGATAAAATGCTTGCTTATTTGTACACGGTATTGCTATTGATTTTGTTTTGAATACATTTGGCTTGGCCACCAGAGTATTGGGATTGTGTCCATTTGAGTTGGTCTGTTAATGCTGTGTGAGCCAAGGTGGTTAAGCACTGACCCATATTGTTGTGGTCGGCCTGATTGTTCTTTACATGCTGTGTGAGTGACACCTCCTCAAACAGGAACAACAGTGTTACAGTGCCATCGTCATCTTTAGCTCACACATTTAAATAAACCACAAACGCTGCTTTAAGTATTCTAGAGACTTTCTCTCTTTGCGGCTCCAAAACCATATGAGCATTGCGGGTATCTTTTGAAAAGTTTGTATATTATTCATGTGTATGTTTGAACATTATAGTGCGCTCCTCTTAGCCTCAGTAGTCCCTGTGGACTGTGTGTAGCAGAACTGAGGCCAGTGTACTTCCACAGAAATCTATCCAAGATTAAACATTAAACATAATCTGCTCTCCTTGTAGCCGTTTGCTTCTGTAAATCTTTTTAAGATTTTTATTTTTTTTTTTTGCATTTTTAAGAAATTATTCACAAAGCATACATAACAAAATAAACACATCTAGGTAAATACATTAACTACATAACAGTTGACAAATCAAAAAATGCAATAATAACTATAATGTTAATAATATAAATAAAAGAAGGGATACAATATTAATACATGAATTGGTCACAAAATAACTATTATTTTCGTTATGGATTAATCTACAGATTATTTTAAAGTTGTTTGTTTTACCCTCGATTTACAAATCAAAGGAAAAGGCAAGAATACTCTTGAAATGAAGGAAGCCCATGAGGTCAAATCTTACCTCATGTTCCTTACAAGTCTACATTATAGTGTTCTATACTTGACCTATGTTCCTCAAAGATATGCATCTGCTTCTGTAAATCTTAAGCTCTCTTCCTCTCCTCATCTCTCCAGGTGACCACTCACCCAGAGCCCGTGTCCCAGGCCATGAGCCTGCAGCAGCCCCCCCAGTCCCAGTACAACATGCCAGACAGGGACAAGCAGCTCCTGTTCTCCGAATTTGAAGATCTCAGTGCCTCTTTCCGCAGCCTTTACAAGTCTGTTTTTGAGCAGTCCTTCAGCCAACAAGGTGAGTGGCCTCCCAGGACCATCGAGTGGAAATCTAATAAAGAGCCTAAGCTTTATTTATAAAGGAACAGGATGATTCTCTCAACGATTTTCCTAATGTTGGTTTGTTCTTATGAGCCAGGGCTATAGAGAGTCTTTAGGCACTAATTAGGTTTACAGAGACAAGAGCAGGTATTCAACAGGCTGACAGCCTATAGTTTAAATCTACACGGAGCGGTTTCATGCTCTTCTGCCAGAGTAATGTGGAAAAGGTCTCATTTCATATTCAAAATAAGAATCTGAGAGTTCATGTCTTAAATATTTCATTACATTAGTAAACAGATGTTACTGCTTTCATTTAACGATTAATACGGAATTGATACTCTATCCTTCTTGCTTTTATGTTTTTCAAATTACTTGAAAGTTGTCTGCGTCTTGTTTTGGATGTCTTCTCATGTAGGCTGTGTTTCATCAGAGGGGAAGAGGAGTTTGCACAGAAATCTGTTGGATATGAGGTTCATGTTTCATAATGATAGGGAATTTGTTATGATATAATATATACTTGCGGATAGCGCACAGCTTTCCAAAAGCTTGTGAATCCCTGCTGAACAAAATGCATTTTTGCTTGTAATCTGATTGACTGATAAACAAAGAGCACTTGAAAAGCGGCTTAGGAGCAAAGTATACTGAGCTTTCTGTGCATAACCTACTTTCACAAATCAAATGCATTTCATGCTAATGTTTTCAAAGAGTTCCTCTCCTTTAATCTATCATCTGTGTTTCATTAGTTCAAAGTTGTTACCTTTTTGTATGCGCATAAAAGTGAAATCTCTTAGTCAGACAAGCTCTAGCAATTAAAAAGCGTAAATAATCGAGCTAGAGGATTTCACACTCTGCCGCTGTAGACAGTGAGCTAATTCACTGGCTTTGATAATAGGTAATGAGCTCGCATTATTATTCTGGTGCCGCGTTAATTGCTTTCTGTATTTCCCTGGTTGGACAATGGGCTTTCTCTGCCGATAAGAGATGCACCTTTGTCACCCCTGCAGTGAGTGTTACGTGGTGATTGTGGAGGTTCAGGGCTAGAGTCAGCTCTAAAAGCACTCCAGTGGAATAGGTTTACCGTGCCAAAGCTGTGAAGGACAGGGCCTCTTAAGACCACTCCCTGCCACTCAGATGATTGCAGTTGTGTGTGCAGATGTTCATGCCCCAGTCATGTTTGTGCCGCGGCACCGTGGATTTGTCAAAGGCAATCCCGAGCTGTGTATCTGGAGAGGAGAGCGACGGTGAACCTCAGAGACACTGCTGATGCTGAGTCATTCCCTGATGCAACAAAATGGCAGCTGGTGTGTCTCAAGTGTAGAACTACTTAAACACAGGAGACCCAGATCCCATTATTGTAAGATGTAAAGATGTATTTAAGTCACATGTGACAACCGTGGCTCTCTTTGTCTTTGTGCTCAAGTTCGTTATACTAAAACACGTTGGTCTGAAACCATTTTCAGTGACATTTGTGTTCAATCGTCTCAATTCACCGGTGAAGGCTTTTACCAAATATATTTGTATTGTCAGTTCATCAATGATTTATAGGTGATTTCTGCAAATATATTCCGTTTACAATGATAAGAAACATCATATCCTCACAATTGAGTAGCTTGAACAAGTGATGGCATTTTTAACTGATAAGTTGAATTGAATTTTCAGGTTCATTATTCATTTGTTCCAGCTTCCTCAGTGTGACAATGTTCTGATTTGTTTCCGTTTTATTTAATTGTAAAATTGATTGCCTTTTTTTTTTTATCCTTTTCTAAGTTTTTGATGTATTGGAAATATTAACATTCCATAATAATGAATAGTGAAACAGGGAATAAAGGGTTACCTCTCAGGATAAACAAGGGTACAATTACAGTAAGTGAAGTAGATATTACGGTTTTAAATGTGCATTTTCATTCAAACTGAGTTTTGACGTGCCATGTGAACACATCTTGTTTTTCAAATGTCTTGTATTACCCTGATTATACTGATAACCACAATACTGTTGGTCAGTATGACTGTGAGGAACCACTTTGTTACCGTTTCATCACTATTTAATGGTAGACAGATCCATTATCAGGATTGTTGCAAGTGTACATAATTGTCTGTCATGGACTTCTTGCAGCAGCACACTAAGCAGCCCTTTGTTGTTGTGCTTTGTCTCCAGGTCTGATGGGCATACAGTCAGATTCCTCCCAGCAGACCCACACCTCCTGCTCCTATCAGCACTCCCCCGGCGGCAACATTAGCACTCAGAACAGCCTCTCAAACAACCAACCCAACAACAGCCACTCCGCCAACAGTGGCCAGGTGCCCCTGTCCCACCCTGCCCAGGCCCACCCTGGCCACGGCTCGCCCCACGCACAGCACCTCCCGCAGCACGGCGGCCCCCACACCCAACACAGCCAACACGCCCAGCACAGCCAACACAGTCAGCTCCCCCAGCCCCCCAGCACGCTGCGCACTCCCAGCACGGGCAGCACCCATCGCAGCACCCGTCCCACGGCCAGCACCCACAGCAACACACGCCACACCCCTCCCAACACACGCAGCACAGCCAGCACCCACCGCAACACGGGCACCCGAGCCTCTCCCTCCAGCCCCATCCTACCCAGCAACAGATGGCCTGCAACCCAGGTAAGACCCCCCGTGCGTCTGCGTCTACTCGCTCCTCATCATGTTCATCTCACACGTCAACACGTTTAGAGCTCGTTTTGTATACTTTTTTTGTAATAAGCATTTAGACATTGTTGTAGGAGGTAGACAGCAAATCATCATCTGATTTATTATCTGTGCTGCTGTGAGAACAAAGCAATGCTGCATCCAGCGCCTCCAGCAGCTCTTTCAGAGTCGACTGGCGCCTCCTAGTGGCCGCAGCACACAGCTCATCTGTTTTTAAAGCCTGGTAAAATGTTTTATTTGGTGCTACCTTCTCATTCATTTGGTGCTACGTCTGGCTGCACAGCTGTAAAAATGTGACTTCAATGAGAATGCATCATCTGGCATTATTAGCTAACCCACAGTCAATAACAATTACAGCAGCAATTACTGTGCAGTTGTCCATAAAATATGTAATGAGGACTAAATCTGTATTTGTCCCAGGAGTGAACTTGGTGCTGGAACCCAAATGACTTGTTTCCACCAAGTCTCGTATCTTGAAATGTTACAGATAGTTTGCTGTGTGTGTTGCAGGTTTACTGTCTGACTGGTACCCAAATCTGGATGCACTGAAAGAAAGCTGTCGTATTGCTAGCAGCTATAACTGGGCTGATGTCGACCTTTCACCTTTCCAAGGTGCGGTTTGGACACAACAAATAAACCTTGCTGCATTTACAAATACTAAACACACAATGGACATGTAATGTGTTTGATTTAATTGTAGGAGATTAAGATTTTTCTAGATTAAAGAAGGAAGAAAACATTAAAAGCCGGGAGCTGATAGTACAGTTCTGCCCCGGCTTTTGATTGAGTGCTGAAGTGTTGACACTGTGGAGTTGATTACGAGTTTAATTAAACTGAGCTCTTCAATTAAATAACACTGCCTTCAAGTTTAATTACCAAAACACCGAGCTCAGCAGGTCAGTTTATCCAATTACAGTCTAGGATTGCAAGGTAGGATGTTTTTTAAATATCACCCACTGAAGGTTACTGACATAATGAATATATATTGCAACCAAGGTTTTTACTTTGTGTTTGTTAATTAGTTTCTCATTTACTATCTTTATATTCGAGAGACAGTTGGCTGGTGCAGTTCCACACATTTCATTGTCACTAATGCATTTTAGAGCAGATATACTGTCACTAGATCTGGTAGTAACTTTGATTGTTCTCTCTATAATTGTGTGTTTTCTGCTCTGAAGGGTTGAGAGACAGTATGAGACAAGCGGAGTTGAACAATTGGTCCCTGGAGCCCACCCAGATCGCCGACCTCTGCTCGTCCATCAACCAGTTCTTTGCCCGCACCGGTGTAATCCAGCCACAGGGGGCAGTGCAGCCTCCTGTCTGTCACGGCTCCATGCACCCCAACAAACCCAGCCAGCACCTCAACACAGGTCAAACACACACTCCAGCACACACTCCAGCACACACTCCAACACACACTCCTTCACCCTACCAACTTGTTAATGTGCTCTGTAGTTGTTGGCTGTGGTTTTTGTTTTGATATGAGGACGTTTTCTTATGTGATTTATTATAATCTTGTTGAGAAAGCACCTTTTATCTGGTTTTGTTTTCTGGTAATAATACATGCTGTAATTGTTCAGTACTATGAGGTATTTTTCTTTATCTGTGAGGGTATTTTCATATAAGTTAACCGAGAGCCTTAAGAATGTATCTCACCTACATTTCCTTATATCAGAAAGTGCAAACAGTCTGGAGACGTTGTGCAAACAGTGAGCTCTGCTCTCCCTTCATGCCAGCGATCTGCAACCTTTTTGCTCCCTTGAAACCAAATAGGGTCTGCTTGCGTCGCCTCATCAACAGCTGCATATGTCTATAGTTCACCCCAACAATGATTACATCGAGAGAAACACAGTTCTTTAGCTGCTGGATTAGACTTTCTTTTGGTACACGTTACTTGCAAATTCTAAACATTAGTTACAAAGTTCACTTACTATTTTGGAAGTGGTATTATTATAATATCAGCTGATTTCAAGTGTCAAACAATACCAAATATTTGTATAGACCATGATTTTTTTTGTGTGGGTAGTAGCTATAATCTGAGCTAATGCAGAGTTCCTTCTGTAAAATGACGCTGCAGGGCCTCACCCTGAAACTAGTTTGTTTTTTTGCTTGACATCAAATTTTGAATTCTATCTTCAGGAAATATCTACATGGACACCAGACAGAGCATGTCCATGATGGGTCCTCCAGGATATCCCCACATGACCCCTATGAGCGGCACAGGACCCGCAATGACAGGTGACATGAAGCCACAGAGAAAAACATAATTAAAATAATAACTAGCTCTTGCTATTAGCCTTTGATTTACTGTTTTATTGATAAACTGGGCCGATCCCCCCCCCCCCCCCCCCCTCCCTCTCTGCAGGACACCATGCACAGATGAACCAGCAGCACATGATACCTACCAGAAACTTCCAGATGCATCGCATGCCAGCTGATGACATCCAGGACGACTTTGATTGGGACTCCATCGTTTAGCCCCCTAATATCTCCTTTCTGCAAAACAAAAGGGAGCGAGGAGAGGAGTTGGAGGCCAGAGGAAGCCAGGCTGAGCTGAGAGGCCGCAGGAGGAGGAGGCCGCTGTGGGTGGGAGGCAGAAGAACGTTTGACAAGCTTAAGAGACAGACAGACAGACTTCACAGCCCTGACATTTCTACAAAAAGCAACACATACCTAGAAAAAGTTACTTTGAAGACAATCATATTCAGTTGGACATGTTAAAGTGATTGCTTATGTACTTGTCTAGAGACGAGTAGAACACATTGACGTCTAAACCACTCGCTCCTCAGCTCCTCAGCCGGCCCTCCCCCCGTCCCTCGCCAGCAGCCTTCCAAAGTCCGAACCCCTCTCCCGCCCAACCCCCTGCTCCGTAACTGTTATGTGATTTGAGCGACGTGTTCAGCTTGTAATTCTTCTCGTGTTGACATTGGCCTCCGCTGCCTCTTGGATGAGTTTATCTCTCTTTTATTTTTTAAAAACAATTTAGTTTTGTTTCTTTTGTTTTTAAGAAACACAGGCCGTCTCTGTGAGTAATGTGATGGTCACTTTTGGGAGAAAGTAGGCCCCACTGTGGCTGAGTTGGTGGGAAAGTGAGGTTTACAATAACTTTGAACAGGGTGTTAAATGTTTAAGCAGGCTTGATATTATACAAACGGAGAGAGGAGGTGAGAGGGAGATCACAGAAAGTATGGTGATCTGTTTTCAAAGCCAACCATCGTGATCAGGCTCACTGCAACAGACCAGTGATGGGAGTACAACAGCTTTTTCTTTTTTGAACTTGTTCTCTGTCTCAAGCACTTCAAGACGCGTGAGAATGATGAGTGAGAAGGTGAAGCAGGGAAGTCAAATATCTCTAGTTTTTTTTAATTCACTCCGCCCAAAGTAACATGTCGGGTCTCTGTGTGCATCGTGTCGGGAAATAATCAGAAACTGTTTTAACGTGAAACAAATTCACGTTTTTATGGTAAAGTTGACTTTAAGGTGACTATTCTATTGATCATTACACAAGCCACCATCGTTCAGAGACAATGAAAGTAGATTTGGACGTATTGGTAATGCTAACATCATCCGCTTATCACAAATACATCGATATTAGCATTTATGTCTGCTAATAGTTAGCACCGCTCAGCATGTATCATGGCAACAGTTTCAGAGACACTTTAATGTTAAAAAACTAACAATGGCCAATATATCATTATGTTATTATGTATCATAGTAAACATATAGTAATTTGGGGAGTAATATGACAAGATTGTTTGGTAGATACACTTCTCAGGATGAAACGGCTGAACTGGCTCTGACTGAAGCTAACAAAGCAAACACATTATATCTCCAAAAACTGAACGGTTTGACGTTTACAGGGGGGAAATGTGCTGGACTATATTTCAGATGGTTGCTATGACTCCCTGGAGATATAATGTGGTCATCTCTTAACTTTAAAGGTTCTGGTTGGCTGATTCTGCGTTAGCGCTAGACAGAGCCATGCTAGCTGCTTCTCTGTGTCCTGTTCATCCAGAAGTGAGATTGGTTTAGAGCTAATCTTCTAACTCTACTCAAGAAAGCGTATAAACATAATTTCTATAATGCCAAACTATTCGTTTAAACAATTGTGTAAAATTGTATACGAACCATGTTATAATTGTTTTAACTAGTGAGAGAAACAAGGACAAGTAATGAGCCTGAATGCAATTTTTAGAGTTCTGGTTTCCAGCCTTGCCGATTTGAAACATTGCTAGTGGACAAATAAAATGTGTTTGTATAAAGACTAACGAAGGGTGGTGAAGCTTCTTAAACGTGCCATTACTGGATTGATTAATGATCAATAGGATATGCATCAAATGGTGTTTCCAATTGAAAAAGGGAAAACAAAAAAAACATTATTTACCAAACTCTCCTTTTTTAATAAATGAAATCCAAATCCACCTATCGCACATCAAAGCGATATTTCGATGCTACACATGTTCTTTGTCACTCCTGACATTCAAATGACAGAGATACGAATCTTTCAACTGCCCTGTGTTTTGTTGTGATGGTTCGATAGCGTCAGAATTTGCTATTATACAATCATAACAGGATGAGAAATGTGACTCATACAATGTGTGTGTGTGTGTGTGTGTGTGTGTGTGTGCGTGTGCGTTGGTTGAACATATGGTGTGTGTGGGTGTTTTGGTTTTATTGTCATTTTAGGGCTACGATTGATTGCTGCAATCATCTCTATGCTATCTACGAGCACAAAAGCAGATGCACACAGTGGTTTAAAGAATAGATTTCAGACATGCTTTCTTTGTGGGAAGGGTTTCCAAAGCACAGAACAGGGAGATCTGCGGTTCTGGAAACCTGTCCTCTGCGTCCTGAAACAAGTGGCTTCTCAATCAGACAGGTGCTGAACCTCAGAGACACTATGTTAAAAAGAGCCCTTTGCACACTTACACTTTCTGTGGATCCGTTTCTAAGATGCAATCTTAGCGATCTCAAAGCTATCTGACCCTACAGTTGACAATAAACAGGATCCTTCCTCCTCTATTCTATACTGGTAAACTATGTACATGATGGTGCTTTGCATCTACTACACTGTGTCCTTATTGAAAGTATTAGTTTCACATTCTGGGATGTTTTTTGAAGCTACAGCCAGCAGACTGTCAGCATTAGAACTGGAAGCGTTGGGAAATGAGCTAGTGTGACTATAGGTAGCTAAATATGCCTGCAACCTCACCAAAACGATTCACTTAACACGTATTATCTCCGTTTGAAAAAGACGAAACAAAAACGTTTTACAGTAGGTTATGTGTTGGACTATTTAATGTCCACTTGCAGTAACTTCCTGGAGTTGTAAAATGTTCATTACTGAGCTTTCGAGGTGCTGGTGAGTAGATTCCTGTCTGACAGAGACAAGCTGGCTGTTCCCTCTGTTTCCAGATTTTAAGCTAAGCTAAGCTAACTGTCTACTGTTTGTAGCTTCATATTCTAAATACAGACACCAGTGCGGTTTTCCCATATTTACCAAAATGTCTAAATATTCCTATAAAGATAATTTCCCAGCTAGGGACTCCAGCAACAACGTTTAGGTTTTTATTTCATATTTTGAATGACAATCATGGATTCTTTTTCTATGATATTACACAATGTCTTTGTTATTGTGAGAAAAGGCATGTTCAAATCTCACACGGTTGTTTTATTGGATATTATAGAACCAGATGTTTTTACATTTGAACACAGAAGGTTATTTGAAACTAGAACCAGCCCAGTTTTATATTGTCGGTCTTCTGTTAAATTGTCCACAGCTGCACTGTGCGGATGAAGTCAAGTTCTCTTCTTTCAACTGATGATACTGCCATTCATTTTTATATTTTTCTGCCAATCATACAGTGACTGTCCACTCCTGCTACTTTCTGCTCCGTTTTGTCTGTCTTTGTATATCAAATGTCCGCCTGTGGATCTCAACTATGAGTTTTGTTCAACTGCCAGAATTTCCTCATTAGTGCTCAGACAAAATACTTCAGTCCGTTAAATGACCCGAATCATAGCTCCTTTAGTCGAGTGGGGGCCAATCGACTGCCACTGAAGACAGCCGTGAAAAAACATCAATGTGTTTTCATTAGGACTCTTTGGACGGACAGTAGAGAGCGTCCTGTGAGTCCTTGGTTGGTGTGAAGTGTGTTTCAGTTCCTCCAGGTGAAGATCGTGAAAATGCACAGAAGCTACTGTTCGACCACAGCAGCACATTGGGAAAACAAAACTATTTTAGTGAACGGATGTGGCTAAAAGGGAAAAAGGTGAAGACAAATGACTGGATCACTATCACAATGTTATGTCTGTATGTGTGTGCGTGTGTGTGTGTGCTTGTGTGAGATTTAGTTGTTTTTCAAAAGACAATTTAAGTTTTTAAAAACCGCTGGACATGTACCTGCCAGAGAGATTACAATTATTGGGAAAAAAAGATTAAAAAAAAGCCTCGTCACGATATGGGAGAGAACTGCCAACAAGTACTGCTGATTGGGGCCTATTTTATTCAGTGCTGGTGTGTTGTTGTGCTTGTACATATATGTCTTTTCAATCATCCCTTTTTTCGTCTCGGGGGTGGGGTATCAAGGCTGGGGGTGGGTCTTATTCATGAAAGACAGGAGCGAAAAGAATAGAGTATTTTGTTATTGTCCAATCAGAGGGTGACAGTATGTATATATCTATATTGTATATATGTGATGAAAATGCGTTGGCTTTTTGTGTGACACTACCTTTTACCTGTACTATGGTTCTACATTCAGTGTTTCAGTGTTGATAATATATATTTGGTTTGTGTTTTATTTTTCTGTTTTGTTTGATTTTGTCTCTGTCATTTCTTGTATTTTTTTCTCCTATTTTTGTTTATTGCACGGTTTATTACTTTTGTTGTCCAATGAGATGACACAGCTACTCTCTGTATTTGTTAAGTGCTGTAAAATAACTCAAGTGTTATTAGAATTGTCGATACCACCGCCCACCCCACCCCCTTCCCCAATATGCATGAATGGCACTTAAAGAAATAAAATATGGTAACTTCACTGTGGAATAATGTGCTGTTTGAGCTTTGTTCCTGAAGACTGCCATCCGTAGAACATGGCAGGAAGATGTTTCAGTCTCACATCATTGGCAGATTTGAGGAAAGGAAACAAATGGCCTCAGAACAGATAAAAGATCACTCCCTGTGCTACAGTATAAGAGCATTTGTACATTGCCCAAAGGACATGCTTATACAGTACATCTTTATAAAGATGCAAAAACTAGTAAATGTGTTTAAACATGCATACATTTCCAGGCAAGTCAATATTTCTTTGCCAATTTTTGGCAATCAAAATCTTAAAGTAACCCATGTTTTTGAGAAACTGAGAGCTTTTCTTACAAACAGATTTCTGCTTATTTAGTGGGAATGCTGACACAGCATTCCCACTATCTTATGCTACGCACAAAATTCTTTATTATTCCGCCGGGTTATTTTGCGCTGCTTCTTCTCCCACATTGAACATCGCAGAAACTCAGTTCGAACATCAAACGTTCAGCTCGGTCGGGAATCAATGGCTATTACTTTTATCATTCATAACTTTCATAATTCCAGAGATAAATCCCATAATACATCCCATTTTTAACATGGAAGTCAATGGAGAACTCTTCAGACTTCAACAATCTTCATGCAACTTCAACTGCTAACTGCTCCTTCATACTTTCACTCAGAAACCTCATTCCAACTTTAAAATGTCACACATCTTTCTGACATTATTCGTGTAACACAACTTTTAAATCTGATTCTTACTTTTAGAGATATTAAACATTGTTCAGACCTTGGTAAAGAGGCCTTCTTCAGATTTTAGAGTGTGTGATGTCACAGCTATAGTAGAGGACAGATTTAATTTTGCCTTCATGTTTTCTTTTAAACCTGTCATAATTCCCAAACCCTACATTCCTGAGACATAGTTTTTCATGACANTTTAATTTTGCCTTCATATTTTCTTTTAAACCTGCCATAATTCCCAAACCCTACATTCCTGAGACATAATTTTTCACGACAAATGTATGAAAACATCTCGTAGCTTGAAAGATAAAACAAATTAAGCAAAATAATTAAACAAAATGCCTCTTGAGGGCATGAAGTGACAAAAACATTAAACTCCATTGTAAGTTCAGCTTTCCCCACCACAGCAGCCGCACACCTTTAGTTAACCTGCCAAAAAGGCCACATTATCAACCTGAAAGTACACAAAAAGCACACTTCAGATGCTCAAGTTCCTTGACATGCTTCACGCTTTGAAATTTCACCGATATCTGTTACGGTTCTTCAACAAAACGTTCACATGTAACAGGTTTATCTCTCATTCAGAACAATGAAAATGCTTTCCTCTCACTAATCACCATGGAAACCTTTGATCTCTGGACACGTCGTTAGCTCAAATATAAACACCTGTGTCATGGAACACGATGATGTCATAACTCCAAGTAATTAGAGCATCAGACTAATTACGTGGTCACTGGAGTTTAACAGACTGTCTCAGCCTATTCTTTTCCGACTTCATACTGACTTCAACATGTTCCACATATTTTAGACATTATTGGTGACGTATGCTTTTAGTTCTAAAGTTTTCAGTTCAAATATTCTGCTGCTTTTTCATGCATTTAGACTTTTATTTTCTTGTTCTTATTTCACATTCAAGTCCCCTCTATTCATGAACCCTTTAAAGTACTCAGCCACACCACCAGGTGCGACTGTTGCTATGTGAGTTAATCTTTCAAATACACCGTTGCTTGTTTGATTCAAGCTCTTGTAGTCAATGTGTTAAGGTATTTATCCCTAACATTTGATCAGCTAACTAATGACACACACTCAGAGGATCTTTATAAACGTTTTAAGTATTGCACATCTTTAAACATGACTCTTATAAATCACTTTTAAAACCAGCGATGCACTACAGCATGGGTGTCAAACTCGAGGCCTGGGGGCCCAATCCGGCCTGCGACTTCATTTCATGTGGCCCCACAAGAGCTTGCAAAGAAAATAATATGTTTATTACGGTTACATGCCAATTTACAGAAGCACGTTGCCCATGAACTACATGTCCCACAATGCATCTCAAATTAGACTTTTTTTCTCAGAATTTGACTTTTTTTTCTTAGGATTTACCCTTTTTTTATATAACCTTTTTTTCAAAATGTCAGTTTTTTTTTTTACTTTTCCAGAATGTGGCTTTTCTTTTTAAATCATTGTGACATTCCCACTGAAGAGACTTGCAATTATTTGCCCTAGACTTCTGCTTTCAGACGTAGTTCATTATGAAGTTATTACCCTATCCGATAATAATCCAATGCAGAGGCAATCATGTAATATAATACATTATTTTATATATATTATATATTTATATATGTATTTGTATATAGTCTTAAACTCACAACCGGCCCTTTGAGTGCAAACTTAATGCGAATGTGGCCTGCCATGAAATTGAGTTTGAAACCCCTGCACTACAGTGTCAGCTTTTCTAAAATAGAAACTTCAATGTTCACATATTTCTAAATGATTCTACGTTTCAATGACCTACAAATAATCCTAATAATAATCCCATTTTCAATCTTCGAAACTGTTCATATTTTTGGTCAATTAACAAACCTGTTACAAATGTGTTTTTCAACACATTTGAGCCTTTGCCATATTTATTTGAATTATTTATATAATTCCTACATAATGGGGAAGCTTCCCACTCTATGTTATTTAAATACAAGTCTGGAAACCTTTGAACTCTGGACACGTCGTTAGCTCAAATATAAACACCTGTGTCATGGAACATGATGATGTCATAACTCCAACTGACGGTCCTGCCCTCAACAGCTCTATGGGGTGTCATCATATGCCGTTTCCATGGAAACGCATCCCTCACCATAAAAGACGATGTCGCTATACATTAACTGCTATGAAAAGGTTCAAAAAGTGCTCAAACTTCACATGTGTGCTAACAGTCCAGCCGTGAAGACATCTACGAGACAGTTCCGTGATTTCTTCAAATGCCCGTTGCCATGGCAACACAATGCTCGCCATGAAACACGGTTTTCTCATAACTTCAGTGAAAATGCTCCAAACGGCCCAGAACTTCACAGGTTTGGTAACGATGCAGCCATCAATGCATCGAAGCGTATTATGGGCATTAAGCGCATCACACATTCAAGCCCCCAGTGTTCATGTATAATTTCAATCTAAATTATTCACTTTCTTCTTACACATTACATTTCAGCATAGCAGTTTAGCATCAGCTTTTCAGCATAAAGCATTCCCACTAGCAATTTCTTCAGGAATTGCATAGTTCTTGTCTGTTGTCCTACTTGTGAGGTACAGTCTTCATTATAACAATGATACTCATCAGGTTGAAGCTGAACTGTTGGTAAGCAGCAAATATTATCCTATAATAATAGATAAACCATGCCTACCAGCTAGAAAACCTAGAAACGTATTAGCGTTCCTAAATTATCCCGAGTACAACTACTGTAGAGATGCCAACAACTTCATTACGAGCTTCATTCCGGTTGATGTGAGAATTAAAAGGTAGTATGTCCTTTATCCCAACTGTAGCAAATAATACTTCATGTACTATGAGTGGGTCATTTTGTCTGCCATGTGATATAGTATTCACAGAGCAAATATCTAAAAAAGGACCTGTTATGCAAAATGCACGTTTTGATGTCTTTTATACATAAATATGTGTCCCCGGTGTGTTAGGGAACTCACGCAGCATAAGCAAATAAAATCCTCTCTCTTTTCCTCCTACCCAAATCTCTAAAAACAGGGGTACAAAGGAGCTGATCCAGATTTACTTCCGATATGACGCAATGTCGGAAATGTGGACTTTTCTTACGGAACTATCAGAAAGTTGCTATCAGAAACAATGCCCGACTGTTTTGGAAGTAATATGGTCTTTGTTTACATTAGCAAGCATACTAACACTCACAGTTAACACAGTACTGGAGAGAACACATTTGTAAAAAAGCAGGAAATAATTCTGAGCAGGCATTAGCTCCACCACCTCCTCTTTTTTTTTCTTTTTTTCTTTCAAGCTAAGGACCCCGAATCAGCAGTTCTTTAACAGGGCTAAAACCGAGGATGTCTAAAATACATGATCTGTTTGGTGTTTTGAGCAAAACACATCATATACATGTTTTTTTTTATCTGAGACCCATAATATATGCCTACAAATAGCATAATAGGAGACCTTTAATATAAATTCTAACTATTTTTTAAATCTTTGAAAAAAGGTTATGTTCCATAACATGGTGTAACTTCATATATCTGTTTCATAAGGACCTTTTTAAGGTGTTTTAAGAGACATTTTGACCTTTTAATCCAGGATTAGAACAGCTGGTGTAGTCTTGTAGAAGAGGTCCATGTGTTCATAACTCTCTCATACCCACCCTCAAAGCACCCTCCCGAAATTACCATATGGTGTGTCACTTCACAACATGTGTCCACACCATAGACTGTATATATAAAGGTCCACACACTGACACTCTACACGTATACTGCCCCCCTGCAGGATATTCCCTCTCAGTGGGGGCACTGGTCACACTGCTGTGTGGGAGTTAGTGTAAATTGTTTGACTCTAATGAAGGGACTGTGACAAGAAAGACATCATGTTCAAAGCTTCCTCTCTAATCCTGCTGACCCTGCTCCTAACGGTTCAGCTATGCTCATTAGCACCGATACGTAAGCCATGCTTTTCCTCTAAACTCTGTGACATGACCGAATTCTTAAATTCTTAAATTGTTTAAGATCAATGATGTAAAAAACTATTAGACAGCTTACTCTGTTAAAAATGTAGGATTCTTTCAATTCATCTATATATTGTCTGTACAAAATTGTATAATATCAGGCCAGTGTGTGTGAAATATTATCTTAAGGTTACTGCAGACTCGGTAAATGTAACTGAATTTTAACTATATAATTCAACAAATTGCTTGAGCTAGTTCATTAGGTTTGATCATTAACGATAACATGAATGTCTGAATACAACTTCATTCAAAATGTGTTTCATAA